ATCCTAGTATAATGATTATAAAAACAATTATATAAAAAGAGAGTTCTCTTTTAAAAAAAAATCTTTCATTATTTATTCAAATAAAAAAAAATTACCAACATTTTATTATGTAACATTTATATGCAGTAGGTAAAACCATTGTTATTCCATTTTTCCATTATTATTATTTTTATTATTACATTTTATTGTTAAAGGTTGATTTTATAATAACACTGATTACAGTAGACTACACTTTAAAATACTAAAAAAAATTACTACCTACATTCTTCAGTATGGTACACTTGCCAGTTGCCCCCTATCTCCCAACAAATAGTGGGCCGGTAAAAAAGTATTTTCCCGGACTGGTCTGAAATTCCAATCCATCCCTGGTATAGACAATATTATTAAAAAAATTTGGTGAAAATACAACTATCTTTAATATTTTTATCTATTCGTTTTTCAATAATACCAAAAAAACAAGAGCGTCTTCCTCGATTTTTGTCTTTAGGCATTGTGAATTGCATCATTCATTATGTAGCTGATTTCGATTTCAATAGTTAGGTATAAAATATTATTTAAAAATAATCAAATATAATCACTTGATCTGCTCTGTATACTTGTATCACGGGATATATTGGTTTCATTTTTATTTCACATTGCGTTTTTATTTTTGTTGTTCATTTCCAATGAAGTACCTACATTATTATTACTCGTGATTAGCTTCAGATAAAACGTCCGACGCAGAACGTCAGTCAGGGAATAGTGTAAGAGTGGCAAAGTCCAAGTGATAATATTATTGTGTATAATATAAAATAGAATATATTATAAAAAATATTGTATATTGTTCTTAATTATTGTATATTATTATATAAATTAATTCGAATTAATTATAATTAATAGATAATTTCATAAGTTTTTATCTTTTGAAAAACTGATTTTAATTTTATTGATTTTTAGTTTAAAATTACTTTCTACGTTTTTAATAATGGAACATAGGTACTAGGAGGTATGAAAAGTATTCTAAATAAGCACTAGAATTATATAATAATTATTGTAATACGGTTAGCATGCTGATAAAATTAAAAACTATTTGAGTTAACTATAAAACAATTATAAAATGTTCGTGATTTTTACGAATTTTAACAATATTTTAATTTTCAAAATCTTTCAAAAAGTTGAACATATGCATTTTCAATATTTTAAAATATCTACAAGTGCAACTTATAAGTAATTTTGTAATATATTTTCAAGATTTTTGACCAAGCCTAAGAAATAGGTATAAACTATCTAATATTTATAATATTTTATCGTACGAGTTTAAAAACTCATTATAAATATTGAAAACTACCTATACCTACCTAAAATTAAATGTTTTCGTTTCTCTTGAGTTTATTATAACGAATGTGTAAATGTGAACTGTGAAAGAAGCGTATTAGGTTCACATAATTTACTTATAACTTATAACACATTTAGGTAAAATATACATTAATGTATTTTTAATTTTAGTTGGTTCCATAATTAAACAGAAACCACAAAATATAGCTGACTTCATTAATTGTACCTACTTAATTTATACCATACTACTATAGCATTGTTTCATTATTATTTATGTAAATTGTAGATCATATTCAGTGTTTAATTTAATTCTTGTTATGTTTATGATATTATGTAGGTACTTAATTTTTTTTACATACCATTATATAAATTCATTATTTTCCTGTACAAACATGTATTTAAAATAATAATTGTTATTATTATGTTTTATTTCTCTGCCTGACACACATGCCACATGCTAGTAGAAGAAAATAATTTCGCAACTAGTAAAGACATAAAGTCATTCAGACCGGTAAGCGGTAACTATAGAAAACCAGATAGTAATCTAACATGTCACAGCAGCTATACATTTGTCAGTGTTCTTATGGTTTTATAATTTTGGTAACTCGGTTGAAAAATATCATGTATTATTTCAAGCTTTATATAAGATATAATTGTATAAATGTACCTATAATATATTATTTTATTTTAACCTTTATAAATTATAAAAAGCAACTACTAAACCAACAATAAAAAAAAATATGAACAAATAGTAGGAGTAATATATTTATAGCCTTGGATAGTATTTCGAATACAGTATTCGAAATACTTTTTAAATTCTTTTTTTTTTTAAGTATTCTGAGTTACAGCTAGTACCTATTCGGAATACTTTTTTTCTTATACAGGTATAATCTTATATATTACTAATTATTACTTATTAACTATATTAATTTGAATATAATTTATAACCAATAGATAGCCAGATGCCCAGATAAGTAAAAATATTCGGAATACTTTTTGTGAAGTATTCCAAATACTAGGAATATTATTATCATAAGTATTCGAATACATATTCTGAATACCTAGTGTTTATAATTTATGATAGGTACAATTTATTAAAAACCAATATGGACACTTCAACATTTGAAATTTTACTAGTACATAGGGCTTAGATATTATATACCCTACCTAGCTATTATAAGTAATTTTACACGAAACCCAAATAATTACTTTATAGCCTTATAACTTATAATAATTATATTAAATTATAATAGGTACGAGGTGGGTATAAGCCGCATAAGGTATAAGTATGATATAACTATATAAGTATAAGTCTTCTAGAAATTTGATATTCTTGATGATACATTCAACTTCTTTAACTATATATTATTTAATATTCTGTGAGGAAAATCAGTGTGTTAGAAGAACAGTGCACTTAAAGAAAATTAACAATAAAAAATGTGTTGCTTTTTTGGGGTTTTATTTCAACGCTGGCTTACTGCTTATTGAATATAGTACTATATTGCTATTTAGATGGTTACATGTCAGTAATCAATACCTAAATATTATAATCACTTGCTTATCAGTAATCCATTATCGATACAACAAAAGTGAAATTTAGATTTATTATGATATTACGATTTATCTAAGACTTTTTTATTCGTAGGTATATAGTAGCTTATGTCTACTTTATATTGTTTCGTACACTACGGTCGTCTTTAAACTACATATTATTATGCACTTATAGTCAGTAACGTACGCTGGGAGGAGAGGGGGGGGGGCTAACGGACTGAGGGTTAGGTTAAGCTCCTCCCACCATTGCCGTATTAAAATTACTTTTTAAAAAATATTTATCAAGTTTCAACTGTCGTCAACTAGTAAGCAAGACGTAAATTCATACACTTCTTACTAGAAAGAATTCATTTTTCTAAAAACATTGTAATCGTCCAATTTTCCTAAAATGAACAGTAATATTTTGTTAAAACTATAACTACTTATCAGGAGCGGCTCCAGGGGGGCCTAGGGGCTACCCCCCCAAGCCGTATTTCTAAACAATTTTATACTCTTAAAAACTAAATTACAAAAAAAAAAATCATTGAAATTGCCAGAAAATTATGACTAGGCACCCCCCTAACCATGTCTCTGGACCCGCCTCTGCTACTTGTATGAAAGACCTTCATTCAATTTTCAAGCCTTTGATATACAAATTTAATATTTTATACGTTTTGAACTACAAATTAACTGTGGTTTTGTCAAAATTTGATCTTTGAATGCTTATAAAAAATAACCATAATAACCTATGTATCGTTATAAAAACTTATGTAATACAATGTTAAGCTTTTTGACTGAAAAAATAATTTTTTATTGACATTTTCAGAAAAAAAACTAAAGTTAATCAAATACAATCCAAGCGAAGGCGGTCCAGGTTACCAAACAATTTTAAAAAATTTTCTTTTATTAATTTTTGTTTTTCCTGATTATTTTAATAAGGAAGTACTACGAATTTTCATTTTCGACCTCCCAAAAGTACCAAAAAGATCCAATTTGCTTCCAAAAACCTCCATTGAAGTTTACGACCAGAGCTAGATAAAATTGTAATTCATTTTCAAGTCCCCAACCCCCCTAATGGAAAATCCTGTATACTTCACTGTTACTTCTACAGTTAACTAATAACGTGAAAAACAGTTCAGGGTATTACTACATTATTTCTGTCCAGTATTTTCTGAAGCTATCTGCTGCCGTATTTTTGTTGGAAAAGCTTGGGAAATGATTCGCAAATTTTTGTGAAACATTTGGTAAATATAACGAATATGGCGATCAGTTTTTGAAATGGCATATATTATAATCGAAAGTTTTTAATTCACTACCTAGGCACATTGCTGTCTTCGCCGTTAGGGCCCATGCAGGCGTAAGACTACTGACTATTTATAGACCTAATAGAATGCTATTTGACTATCAAGTTTTAGTTTAAAAGTCAGAACGATAAGCTCTATCAATATACTATATAATATAGTATATATTTAATACATGAGTATTGACTACTATTGAGTAGTTTTCTGTTTTTATTTCAAGATAGGTTGTGTGAATTATAATATGTCTCGTTTTCATATAAGTCATGTAGATACAAAAACATGTATATATCTAATATATGGATAATAGATTACAAAAGGTAGGAGTGTACTCAACTGTCTCAACTACTTATATATAGGTATTTTTCAGTTATTTTTTTCCGACCTCGAGTGCATACCCTGTCGTATTTACCTCTCGTGCTTTTCACAATTGAAATCGATTACCCATTCAAATGGAAATCGAATGGCCAATCGAGCGCCAATGTACAAAGTCTGGTTATAGACACCAATATTGTTCAATAACACTGCAAATAAGGTCCCTACAGGAGATACACAGGGCCACCCACCCGCAACAACTGAAAACTGCAACTGCCGATTACTACAGCCATGCATAGGCGCAAATAAAGTTTTGATTTGGGGGGGGGGCTAACTTAACAAAAGCCTTACTTTGATAGTATTGAATAACCATAAAACAAAATGTAGGAAATGTCCGGGGGGGCTTAGCCCCTAAAGCACCCACTCTATTTGTGCCTATGTGAGCCAAGTGGTACTTATGATTTATATATATATATGAACAAATGAACTATATTCATTCACAATAGGTAACTGTCCCCTGCGGGCTACGACTACATCACTCACCGGCGGCGCCGAAAGTCTCTTGAGGGTCGGGCCCGACATGTCAACCGGAACGGCGTCGATCCTATTCGGAAATGTTCGGCGCGCCTGCCGTACGAAGTGCTAGCCGAGGAACAGTCAACAACCGCGAAGACGCAAACTCGACGGACGGACGAACAGTATTATTAATATTATAATATCGTGTGCAAAAAAAATTCGTCTGGACTGCGCCGGACAGCCGGATCGGGGGAAATGTGAAAATAATTATTTTCGATTTCGACAGTCGTCGACAAAAAAACACCGACGGTGGCTGTCCGGGGGATGGAGAGGGGCGCTATGTCGTCCTACGCAAACGCACGGTGGAACGGGTGTGATGGGCTCGAATGTGCACGGAGAGTACAGAAAACGCGAAAACGCGGAAAACCGGTGGTGGAGGTCCGGTCCTCGTATCGAGTATTCGGGGGAGACCTGCGCGCGCCGCTCGTCTTCCCCCACCCATCGATATCGCGCTCGATGACGACTAGCTAACCGCACCTCGCCGGCAGACCGGTGACCGGTGACCACGGAATGTATAATATTAATAAAATATGTTACTTTATAGTATTATATATTATTATGCACGGATAACAGGATTTCCAAAGGTCATCCAAACAAATTATTATTATTGATAATACTAATACATACAAACTATAAAAGCATGATGTGTATTATATACACTTATATACGCTATGACGTAGTACCCATCGGTGGCGTTTCGGAAAATATAATATATTATATTATTCAATAATTCATTATTATGTTCATAACGAGCAAAAATATAAATTATTATTATTATTAATCATTATCGTGAAACCGGTTCCAGTGCGGCGGATACGGAGCTCGACTAGCCGCCGCCGACGGAGACCTTGCGTGGATTGCCGAGAGTGCGAGCAGTGCGCACTGCGCGTCACCTCGGGGAATCTACGTCGCGGGCCGTCTTAATACGTCTTTTCAAGGTATACTCACCTACCGAGAGTTCGCAATAAACAATTCCGCCGATACGTGACGCTCATTCGACATCATCATTGAATTTTTTTTATATTTAGGTACCTATGAATTACGTATTTGTACGCAGTTGTATTCAAACAATTTTTTCGTATAGGTACTTACATACATACATGATATACATATACGTGCAGCTGAAGCACCCACCGTCCCTCGTATTATTAACAGTCTTGTAAAGTATTCGAATAAAAGTATTTGAATAATTTATTTGTATTCAAATACTATTTTGAATATTTTTTTTAAAAAGTATTCAAATCCGTATTCTGAATACTTTTATTTGTATTTTTTATTCATTAAAAAAATACTTTTTTCTGATCCAGAAAAATAGTTTTAAATTTGTGACAAGACATATTATAAATCATGAACATTAATTTTATTCTTTGAAGGAAATATAATATTGGCCCATGAGATGATAATTTTTATAAACACCAATGTGTTGTATCCCGTAGGCCCTTATCGGCCGTATCAGATTTGGTCAACATTTATAAATAACTTATGATTACGATGTATTTTTAATTATTAATTAATAAATGTTAATTACCAACCACTCAAAAACTGACACAAACTTGTTGTGAAAAATTTATTCTAATAGTATTCGAATACTTTTTAAAGGATTCGAATATGTATTTTGAATATATTTTTAAGAACTATTCGAATACGTATTCTAAATACCTTAATTCTCATTTATTCGAATATGTATTTCGAACACAAAATAAAAGTATTCTTTACAAGACTGATTATTAATTATTGAAAATTAGATAGATATAATTTTTGGTACGGCTCCCGTGGCATTTTTGAGGTACACTTGTTGTAGGGCTTACCGCGATTTTGTCGGCAGCATGTTCGTTCACGCAGATATCACCAACATGAAGTTACATTCTTGTTTACGGTTTACCCGTATTTAAACGTTAATTTAAACATTTACTGCCACATAGGTGGGGTGTACTAGCGGGGCCAGCTTGTTTACCATTAGGTAGCCATTTAATTTTTTCGGTGATTGGTTCACGGTTTTCAAGAATAAAAAATTTGTTTTTTTTAAATCGAAAATTTTAACATTACTAATTTATTATGAATGAAATGAACAAGAATATTAAGAGAAATTCCAGTCAAGCAAATACCAATAAACATTTTATTTAAGTAAAATAACTAGAAATAATGAATATGAATGTGGTGACTAGGATCACTTGGATCAAATTTTAAAATTCATACATTGTATGTATTATGTATCTACATATTTAAAAAAAAATAAAATGATTATATTATAATGTTTTGATAGAGTTATCTTAATTAATAATTATATATGTCAAACTCTTTATGCATAATAAAGGTAATATATATATATATATATACAGGTAATATCCAAAACAAATACACATTGCGTCATTTTAAAACTGATTTTCCTAGCCATTTAAGCTTCAAATTATTAATTTTTTTTCCATAATAACTAATAAGTACCTTATGACCATAATACGCAAACTAGCATCCACCATAAAAAAATCCTAGATCCGCCCTGCGTATAGCGTAAACAAGGAAAAATTGCACAGTACGACTCAAACACGTCATTAACAATTATGTTATTAATCTCCACGTCATGTTCAATTGAAATACGTTTGAAAATTTAACACTGGGTTCCTCCTGTGCTGTTCTCACTAAAATCATCAAAAATACATACTTGTGAATATTTTTCTACAAAGAATTTGGATATTAAAACGAAAAACCTGACTTTAGTCATTTTTTGAACTTGAAATGTATAAAATGTTGACTTGAAAGTTATTGCCATTACGTAAATTGTTATTTTCAATATTTCACATTTAAATTTTCAAAATATTTAGACTAATTTCAAGGTATCAACGTAATAATTAGCTAGTGCGGGCGAGTAAGTGCGATTTCTATTCTGACCATATTATGCAGCTGTTCTGCACACAGTGCGTTGCCCGCATGCGGCGAAATACAAACTATTATGCATGCAAATCACCTATAGCCTATAGGACAAGGCGTAACAGTTTATGCCTTGTACTGAGAAGGCGTGCTGCAATATTATTCACTTTATTCTATGGTAGGTGCCTACCACGTCGATAATTAAATAAGACTATGCTATTTTTTTTTTTTGTAATTTAATAGGAGACGATGGGAGCATTATATTATACCCTCCTTGGCTTTTGGATTTAACCATAATTCTTAGAAAAAATAAGTAAAATTACGGTACTGGATCGTCAACAAAGAATTTAATTAAATTAATTTAATATGATTTAACACTATTTTTGTTTTGTTTTTACTGTTATAATACAAACATAATTCGCGCCTTTAGTACAAGACTGCCACGACTCAAAACTTGAGATTTTTGAAAGACTGTAGGTCGATAGATATAATTTTTATACTACATAGTGTATTGGTGTAACTCAAACAAGTGAACCTACGCATCATCATCATAGATTTATGTCGGTATTGAATTTATTCGTTTTTATGGTTAAAAAAAAATAATACCACTAAATTTTTTTATATGTGGCTTTGTGGAAGAACAATTAATTTTCACATTTTGGTTGTGGCAGTATTTAATGAAGCTACTCGCTTTTTATTGTATTAGCCTCATTGTATTGGCCACAATAATGAATGTATTGATTATAACACCATGTGAAATAGTACCTACATACTACATAGGCAAGTCATTATATTTTAATGAAAACCTAGTAGTAATAGTAAAGTATTTATTCATGAGAGATATAATTCAAAAATATAATTCAGCATATTATCTCCAATTTGATAAACATATTCTAAAATAAATTGTAGACGTTGGATATATAATCCAATTTTTTTTATCTTAATCCCCCATTGATGATTGATGTAACCTGCTCATAATATAAAATGCAATATACTCATCGTGTCTATAACTAATAATAATATTAATAAAATATAGGTAATATAAACAAGGTGTAAGTATCTATCCTTAGAAATAAATCCGTATGATCACCTACTAATTTTCTTCGCTTGAAATCGTTTTTTTCTTAGCTTTCTATACACTGAATATTACTCATAATACTGATATAATAATATCACTCATATTACTGAATTCAAGTGTATTTCATCCATTACGATTTCCAATTACCTACTCAACGACGAAGTACAAAATTCAAAACTTATTTTAGCGCAAAAGCGTGTTTTTCCTTATTGATATTCCAAAATATAGTATATTAATAGATTAATTTAATTTGAAAATTAAAAAAATAATATTACCTAACCTACTTAGACGCTTAGTATAACTTGTTTCCAGGGTTTCTTTCTTTTACAGGTTATTCCACTATAAATTATAATAGCTGTTCAAAATAAATAAGGTTAATAAACTTAACTCGTTCATCGATATTAGCGTATAGTCGTAGTGAAGTAGTGCAGTATATTATATTGACGTATACAATTTGTCCTGACTAGATGTAGGTACCAACTACCTACCTATATCGTATATATACCTACTACGTAAAGAGCAAACGTTTATGTAGGTTTCTACATATTTTATTTCCTTTAATTTTTAAAGGTCAGAGTATAGTAAAAATGTAATTTATAACCTTTACAGTACAAAAGAAAAATTTGTATGTTGCATATCCTTGCATATTTATGACTATTTCACTTTAAAAACTTAATTTTGTTATATTAATAGCCAATAGGTACATATTACTCAATTTATTTCATATTTTTTTGTCACATTCGACTTTGAATTACACATTTAAATAAGTGAAACCAAATATATTTTACATTAGTTTAAAAAAAAAAAGAATAAACTTAATGATTATTGTAATTTTTTCAGGTTAAATCAACAAAATAATAGCACATTATTTATTTATTTATTTTAATTATAAACGCCCAAGGGCATAAAGTAAGTGGATATTAGTATATTAGGTACTATTTTATTTTTAATATTTTAAACACCATCCTATTTTTATTTAAATTATTTATACATTATCGTTTTGATATTTTAGTGAATATTTTGATGTTTTATTGGCATATAACGACGTTTTATAAGGTATATA